CCCCCTCCACCTCCGGCTCCGCCCCTTGGCCCCCCTGACCTCCAGGCCGGACTCAAAAATAAAGGAAAGAAAGAAAATAGAAAAGAAAGGCAGCGTGCAGTGTTTTCACTGTCCGGCAGAACGACGCGGCGCTACTTTGTGTCAACATGATCCCCATCCAGCCCGTCCCTACCGAACCGACGGCACGGGACGATCGGGGGGCCGCTGCTTCGGACTATTTGTTTTAACCCGTTTGTCTTCTGCTGGCTTTTACTCCTTTTACTCCCTCCTTCGTCGAGGAGAAAAACAAACTTTTCCGGCCACAACCCACAAGTTCACTGATTATTATTTTTTATTTTTTTCTTCTTATTTTTTTTGCTTAGTTTTGTTGCGTACTCTTATTTGTTAACCGAGAGGGAGAATTATTTCTTTTCAAAGGTTTTATCTCTCGCATTCGCCCGAGAGTAACATTTGTGGGGACAGCTGTACGAAGAGAAACAATTCGAAACAGGGCCGCGCTTGTGCTAACACTTAAAAAAAAACATGATTTCAAACGAGTCTTATCTATGGCATTTTGGGGGAACTCTGTCAATTCAAAGAATTTGCAGCTCATGGTTCACTATAAATAGCATAATTACCACCAAAATCAATTAGAAATCGGATGAGGGGGTGAAGAAGTTTCACACCCTGTACGAAAACACGTCATTTTCATCCAGCGGCACCTTTTATGATTTTTCGATCATCGCATCGGTCCTTCCCAAACACTTTTTTTTTGTTGAAAAATTTCAATTTCTTTTAAATCGCGCCAAATCGTTTTTCAAGTGCCAATCTAAGGGGTAAGGTAAAGGTAGAGGCAGGGGAGCGCGCTCGCGCTCGGCAACTCGGTTGTCGCCGTCCCCGTGCCCGGGCGCACGACGCACCGGGCCGATCGAAGACAAATGTCGTTTTCGACACATCTCCCTTTCCTTCTCTCCTCGGGCGGCGCGGCGGGGGCGGCACGCAGTCACAGTCCCTGATAGCGGAACCGCGCCTCGGCGCCTCGGGCTCGGCGGGGCGGGGCGGCGCCGTGGGCAAAACGGTTTGCTCGCGGCAGAATGGGTTCGTTACAGCACAGCGCGCGGGGGTCGCGAGAAGAGAATGTGGCGCGCGAGCGCAAAGCGCACGCAGGACGGCAGGGCCTTTGGGTGTTCACGCCGAGGCGGGGCGGGGACGGGCGGGGGCGCTCTGCAAAAGGGGCGCCAGCATATATTTCTCGCTTCTCTTCCGGTCGGAATGCGACGAATTCCAACGAGGCGAGCCGCAGGCCCCGAAACCAGCGCTACACGACGTCAGCACACGGCAGTGCCATCCGCCCCCCCCCCTTCTTCCCTTACAAGATTTCCAATGAGGATTCCCCCCCCCCTCCCTACCCCGCCCGCGCCCAAGCCCCCCACCTTGACGTTGCGAGAGCGACGCGCGACGCGAGTAGCAACCTCCATCAAGTGCAGTGAAGTGGCAAAATTGCAGGGAGTGAGAGGTGTGGGAGTAGCAGCAAAGGCCCGCGCGCTGCGGCAAACGTGAGTGGCACCGACCACCACACTTTTCACCAGAGACAGCTCGCTAGCACGCACACACACACACACACACACATACACACACACATACACACACATACACACGCACGCACGCACGCACTGACACACGCACACACGCACGCACGCACGCGCACCGGTATGCGAGTGCGGGTCCCAATCCCACGCGCCCATAGCACGGCGCTCACCTCTGATGATAGCCGCAGGCTGCCGCCGGCGGAGCAGGCTGTCCGGGAGCTCGCCGAGCACCGCGCCATCGGGACTCTGACGGGACGGGTCACTCACTGGGCGGTATAATCCTCTCTGGGCCGTGCGTCGCCGCCCTCGCGGCGGTACGGGGGCCCTCGCCGGGACGCTCCTTCTTGTTAACCAATCACAGCGCCGCGCGGTGCACAAAGAGGTCCCGCCGCCGCCATTGTCCGGCACAAAGACGCGGACGCGTCCGCTCCGGACACGGGCGTCGTCCGTCTCGCTTCGACGGGGACGGACACGAGGACCGGGGCCGCTTGTCGCGATATGTCCCTCCTATGCGCGCGCCGCCCGCGCCGGTCGCGGCCTCGGCGGGGACGTCGACGAGCACGCTCGCGCTGTGCGCGGGGAGGGCCGCCGGTGCACGGCGCGCCGGTCGCTCCGGAGGGGGGTGGCCGATGCGACGCCGGCCGATGTCGGCCACTGAATGAAGGGGAGGGCGAGAGAGAAGGGGCATTCCGCCGCGCCGGGCCGCCCGCACCGCCACGGCACGTGGGGGAGGGAGAGAGAGCGAGAGAGAGAGGGAGACGGGAGACACGGGAACGGGAGGAGCCACCCTGCGAGAGCCTAAGGGAGAGAAGGGCCCTCGCCTGTTGCTGATGCCGTGCTGCCCTGGCCCTGGCCCTGGCCCTGGCCCTTGGCGCTGCCACGCTCTCCTTCTGCTCTTTTCTGCTGCCCCGAACAGAGTCACACGGTCCATTTGAGAGACCTTTAGGACGGGCTAATTTGGATTGGACCATCTGGGGAGTGTGGAGTGGATCACCCTACCCGCCCTCATCGGCACACTGCTGATGTGATTTGTTGGTATGGTGACGATCGTAAACTAAATGCTAACTTATAGCCATCGATTCGGCCACTTATTGGGGGGTAGTGCGGGACAGTGTGCCTCAAAGGGATCGTCCAGAAATTACGTCCGTTTTTATTCTCAGATTCACTCAAAAAATTGTGGAAGCTAGGCGCCTGCGAGACGCGGGGTAGGCTCCCCGCAGTACCCGCATGCACTGTAGGCGTGATGTTGCCTACCTATCAGGCGCTATGATAGCTTGCAGAGGTTGAACTTTGGTAGATTCCTTCCTCGTCTCCCGGCAAATGACGGATGTACTTTCTGGGTGGCCCCCAAGACCAGCGTATGTGTGGTCTATTATCCCAATCCAAATGAGACCGTTTTCCGTTAGGTGTGGAGGAGGAGGCACGGACTTAGAGGTGGAGGTGACGGGTTGAGGGGGGGGGGCATTCATACAAGAAGGAATAGAAAACTAAAGTTTTCCGACGTTCGATATTCCTCGATATCGATATCCTCAATTAATCTTTGACCTAACTGGAAACACTCGACCATCATTTTCTGACGCGTAAAACCCATAGGGGTTGTAAAGATTTCAAATTTATAAAATTACGCTAGCAGGCAAAGATCATGGACGCTGCACTCAGCGCCATTCGAGTGGGACAGTGCGGCAGTATGGTGCATACTAAAGGCCGTCCTCGGGCACTTGGTGGCCGCGCCCCTCAAACTGTGTCGTTGTTGAAGGGGCACTAACTGTCGTCGGCTGCAATATGGGGCTCGGTCGCCGTAAAGCAGGGTAATAGACGGGGTGCCGGGGGAGTGGGTAGGGGCGGTAGGGTGTTGCCCAGCACCGAAGTGATTGTGGTGCAGGGGACGTGTAGTTAGCATTACGACTTCACTTGCTTTATTGTTCTGTTTTGTGAAAGAGAAGGGCGTGAGCCTCGGTGGAGGGGAGAGCCGTCGACGCGGTGAATAGAGAGTGGAGGAGCGCCCCGCCTTCCTCGACCTCGAGGGGTGGCGGCGGGGGCGGATGGCGGATGTTTCGCGCGCGCCTACAAGAAGAGCCCCTTTTCGGGAACGGCGGCAGGCCCGGACTGCGGCGGCGGTGTGGACAGCAGGCGCAACGCCAGCGCCCTGAATAGTGAGCTGTCTGGTCTCTCCAGAACCAGCACGTTGTCGGGGCCACCCGCGCCGCTGAAGTCCACGAACGTGGCCCCTCTCGCCACACCGTCCGCCGTGGCCACCTGATCGCAGACAGAAGGTGGTTGGGCACGGCGAGGGTGGGGAGAAAAACAAAATGCGTTCGGTAAATGAAAAGGCTCTATCGCCGGGTCAGCCTTCCCCATCCTCACCAGCAGCCTGCCGGGGTTCCTCTCCCGGACAACGCACGGGCACAGCAGCGCGGCCGCCAGCAGCCCGTTGGCGTTCACCCACGGGTCCTTGTCGCCCGCCGCCTCCAGCACGACCCTCTCGGCGCGGTTCAAGAGCCGGACCTGCGCGCTGTCCACGGCGCCCAGCACCCCGACGCGCCACGCCCGAGACACCCGCAGGTCAGACGCAGTCTCGGAGGGCATCACGTTGATCGCCTTCCTGGTCGAGTTGTAGACGATGAACGCGGCCTCCGGGTCGAAGTTGACGTTAATTTCTTTGCCCGGTTGACCCTGGTTTCCTCCACCTACAGTTCGCGGATAGAGTAGCGAGGCCATGTTATGAATTCCAACATTACACACACACACACGTTTTACACATCTTTACCGTGCGCGGCTGCGCCGTTGAAGTACACGGCCCTCATATTGTCCAGGAAGGAGGGGTCCAGCCTCAGCGCCAGGGCCACGTTGGTGAGGGGCGCCAGGGCCAGGAGAGTGAAGCGGCCTGGCAAAGGGGCGTAAAACAGGGTTGTAAAATGCAAAAATGCACGCACACACACGCACTTTTAAACCGAGAAACGGGGGGCGGGAGCTGCCACGCGTGGAGCGTGACGCGCCGCGTCTAACCTGGGTTCTCCCGCACCATGCGCGTGAGGGCCAGGACGGCGTGCACGTCCCCCGGCTCATCGGCGGCCACCTGGTCCGGGAGGAAGTCGCCGAAGCCGTCGCGGCCGTACATCGTGGCCGTGGGGTTCTCATGAAGCAGCGACACGTGTGCCCCGAGGAAGACCGGAATCTGGGAGGAGAGAGGGGCGGGGGCGTCTGTGGATCACTCCCATCAGCGACGACATATACGGCGACCAGCCAGAGGTATTTACAAGGTGCCGCCCTTCCTTACGTCCAAGCGCCCGGCCGCCTCGAGGGTGGCCATCACGTTCCTGCGCACCAGACGCACTGGCGCGTTGCCACCCACGCACGAGATGGCGACCACCCTGGTGGGCGTCAGCGAAGGGCTGTGCAAGGCGATCAAAGTCAAGTCGGGGTCAAGTTCAAACTTCAGCCAAAAGTTTTCCTCGTTGAGCTCCTGAGCACACGATTTTTGTTTTACTTGCTCTTGTAGGGGAGCACACCCGCAAGCACTCACTCGCTCAGCTGCTCTGCTGCCAGGAGCTCCAGGATGGCCATGGCGTCGTCTGCCCCCGCGTCCACGTCCAGCAGCAGCTCGACGACCCCCTCCGACGACGGCGGCCCGGCCCAGGGGCACAGTCGCGCCTCGGCCGGCAACAGCCACACGAAGCACCCCAACAGAAGCAGCATGCTGCCGGTCACATGCGGCATAGAGCGTTGAGCTCACCGTCACGGCGCAGCAGGAGGCTGAGGACACGCGAGTTATCGACGCTCACGTCGGACTTGTGTTTATATATCCCAACCGCCGCGGGGCGGCGACCATAGCTGGAAGCGTGCCCGGGCCCAATCGCGGGACTCCGCGTGCGCGTGACAACAGAACATCATCGGAAAGCATCGCCGTGTGCTCCTTCTGTTGCAATTCTCGGAAATACGCAGAGGATAGGCAGGCGACCCCATCAGCATCGGAGACCTTTCTTTTCCTCTTTGCCGACTTGTTTCAAGAAAGATTATAAACCCCGAGTATTTGCGCGCTCTCGAAAAGTTTGGCTCCAGCAAAAGTGCGTTGAGGGTGCAAAATTACACGAGGATTAAAATGCTGGCTGCCACCCACAGACCGGCGGCAGCCTGACCCCATGAGGTCGGCTCATTCTTTCGGATCGGGGGCGGGCGTGCCCCAGGGTTGCACAATATATAGAAATGTTTCACATGCCGAATTATTTACCGAACAATACTCACGACCCACATGGTGCTTGCCTTAGCTCTGACGAGGACGGCCCGAGACTGGCGGGCTTCTCGCTGAGGGGGCATATGTACGGCTCGGCTATCACTACCCGTTTATAAATGATGGGCCCAAGAAACAGTCCGGCCAGCCGCTATAGCGGATGCTCTATTTTAAGCGTGTCCAGGGCGATAGGCGCCTCGCGGCAACTCCGCGGATTTGCACATGCACGGGTGCCGGAGCATGTCACCGGATGTTACTCGTTGCAGCCAGCTCTGCACCTAGGGATAACACTGAGCCGTTCACACCCAGCCGTCTCGCAGGCCGCCCTATCTGTGTTCGCCCCTCGCATCACATACATTCAGAGGTATCGCAACTGGCGGCTACTTGACACCCGAGTTCCTGCGTGCCGGCGTCGCCTGCGTCGTGCGTCACCTGCGTTGGGCGTTAGGCTGCCCTGGATCCGCCCCTGCTACTGTCGGAGGCTGGTGGCCATGCTGGTGCCCCGCCTCTCCTCCCCACCCTGAGGGTACACCCCCCTCCCCCACTCTGCTCCACCTACCCCCTCGCCTGCCGGGCGCGCCGGGGAGTCCCCTTGCCCTTGCTCGTCGCCGGGCCCGCTGCACGCTGCAGCGCTCCGCGTCGTTAGTCTGAGTGCGGCGCTGGAAGAGTGAGGTCGTCCTCTGCTGAGCCCCTTCGTCTGTGTGTGATCCTATTCCCCGGCCGCTAGTCGCAGTGTACCGCCTGTGCCTCACTGGAAAGCCTGCTTATTTTGTGGAGACGACGGCATTTTATTGTAAGAAGGTAGGTGCAAGGTGCAGTGATGGGAGTAAGAGTGTTCGGGAAGTTGAGGTTCTGCTGGGAGTCGGGCGTCACTGAAGGGTTTCAGGACATCGAGTCTGTACGAGGTCTCCAGCTTTATCTTGCTAAAGTTTGAACCACAACTAGCCGTAACGGTCCGAATTGAATCTTTGCATTGACTCATAGAGACAATCTGATTGACCCTATTTCGGAAGGGTATTCCCCAGGCGTGCAACGCAACACTTACCCGATCTAGAGGGGTATTCCCCAAGGTTGTGGAAACGGCTTTTCTCGGACACACCTTTCATGTATTCACATTCGCTGACATGAATCGTTCTAAACTGATAAAATAAATGGCTAAATTTTAGGTATATTAAAAACCGTGGTTGCAGAAAGTTTTTGAGGAGCTCTCTAGCTGCCGTCCATGGTAAAGATCTAGAAATAAAGTTTTGTAAATGGAAGTCAGGGTAAAATGATTTGGTTTTGAGAACAGTTCAAAGTGAGTTTGGAATTGTGTATAATGAAAATGTGTGCTGGCTTTGATCTACCCAGTTTGAAATGAATTTTTTGTTGATGTCGAAACGGTGTCGATCTGATATCGTAAGTCAAAATTGTGGACAGGTTTGAGTCGTCAACGACTTAAACCTGTGCCTCATTTTGACTTATGACATTGTAACAACATCGTTTCGACATCTTTAAAAAAACGCATTTTGCACTGATAGTCTGACCTGCTCAACAATGATTTATATCTTCCCATGCCCATGACTTAAGTTGTCTGTTTTTCTTGACCATGACTTCTCATTCAATTGATAATCGTTTCAGTTTTTTTTTGTCTGGTAGTCAGGGAACAGTCAAGCAATACAAAAATATATGAACCTTTGTAAATTAGTCAGCAGTGGGTGCCTTCTTTTGTTGTTTGATAGTTTTATTTACATTCTTTTGTTATCTTCCTTACAGTGCCTAAAATGAGTGACTGCAGCGGAGATATGGATTTAGGCAATGATGTGGGGGATGTCGCTGATGACATGGATGTCGCGGATGACATGGATACTGACACTGGAGCATCTACTGCAACTGAGGCAAGCTCAAAATCTTGCATGGTTTCTCTTGATAGTTTGCTTGGTGCAATCTGCTTTTCCTTCCAATTTACCAGTTTGTGTTGGGGTGTGTATTTCCCATAACTTATGGCCCCTTTTTTGCATTGCAGGCGGCCAGCTGTGCAAATTGTAATGTCAGCTATGATGGCGTGGACAAAGTACCAATTACAGGGGGGGCTTGTGGCCACATTCAATGCAACAGCTGCTGGCAGGAAAATGACTGCTTCAAGTGTAACTCGGTCAGTATAAAAACTTTTGCTCTTGACTCTGGTTCTAGCTTTGTAGTCTTAATCAAAAGCTAATTTCATACTTTTTGTTTTCATTCTGTGAAATTTTAATTTTTTTGTGCTATGTGTGTCTGTGTACCAGTTAAGAAAACATAAAATAATAATTTGGTAATATTTCGATTACAGAAGAGTACTGATGAAAATCGTGAAGTCCACATTCAAACACCACGGGACTTCCGTTCGCCTGAACCCCCTCAGTCTAGTGCAGGAAATGGATCAAGCACAAGCAATGATGAGTAAGTAGAGGTTGTTTCTATGAGAACATTTTAAATTAACGAATAATGGTCAGCGGTTGAGAGTGAACACAGTTAACATTTTTTTCTGGAAAAGCCTCTAGCCAGTAATTTACTTCTCTTGCTTCACAGGAACAAGGAAGCTGTTCACGCACCGCAGATTGAACAGCAGGCTCAAGTAACTGCACCTTCCGTCGGCTTAGCTTCTAGCTCAACTGTAGGGGCTGTATCGAGTCCCTCTTTGTAAGTAAAATTGAAGGATTAGTCAGATTTTTGAACATTATTAAAGTTGTAACTATATCTGAGGTCAATTATGAGCTCCTATGAAAGATTAATGTTTGCTCTAATAATTTAACTTTCTGTGTTTCAATGAGAACATTTAAAATTTAACAATAATAATGGTCATAGGTTGAGAGTGCCAACAGTTGACATTAATATTGTTTCAGGAAAATTAGCCTTAATCAGTGCTTTACTTTTTCTTGTTTATCAGGAACGCACCGGTTTTCGCACAACCAGCAAATGCACCTGCACGAATAACTGTACCCAGATTAGCTTCTCGCGCTACTGAAGGGGTTGCAGCAACTCCCTCTTTGTAAGTATAATTTAAGAATAAATCAAATTTTTGAATGCATGTAAAATTGTAACTTAGATTGTGGCGAAGTTCCATAAGTTATGTCTTCTTGTTGTTGTTGCAGGGCAACCATTACTGTAAAGTGCATTAATGGTACAACAGTTACTCTGAAAGTAAACCTAAGCTGCACAACAGTGCAGGAAACGAAGAGACTGGTTCACCAGCAAAGTGGTATCGCTCAGGAGAGACAGCACCTACTTTTCAGGGGTAAAACTATGGAGGATATTTCAAGGACTCTGAAAAGCTACAATGTCACTGATGGTACGCATATTAGCATTTCATCCATGTTTATCCTAGTCATTACTGAGCACACTCTTGTACTCTCTGTTCTGTTGTTTCAGGCTCGACACTGCAAATGGGAGCCAGATGTTATGGTGGCTAATGTTAAACTCAACTGGTTGGAGTATTATCCCTTAAATTTTTTTTTTTTTTAAATTGTTCATGATACTTTTTCTCACAGCACATTGTTCCGTGGCTGATAATTTTCTGTTAACTTGTATTAAACTGCAGTTGATGTCTTTAAGCAAATACCTATTGTGTATTATATGCAATTCTATGAAGAAGTTCCCTGTACTAGTGGTTTCATCGCAGTCTTAACTCTAGGAACCTACAAATTTTGTTTAGTTAGATTGTAATTAGAATGTACCTTCACATTATTTCTTCAATACTTTGAGTTACTTAAACTTGTGTTCAGTGTTCAACATTTCCTTTTTGCCATGTTCTTGAATTAATAAAGATACCTACTCTTTTTCAAACATGTTGTTCTTTCCTTCCCACCTTCAGGCTTGGGACCAATAATTGTATTTTGTTTGGAAAACTAATAAGTTCCCATCTAACCAGCTGTGTACGAGCTGCATTATTTTCCACGTTGTGACACCTATTTCATATATATCTACAACAGCAGAAACCAACACAAAATTAAACAGATTTCATTCCAATTTATTAAAATGGCTGTTGCATTGCAATGTTGAAATGTAATGACACCCTTTCATAGCACCACACTTACAAAGTACAATTCTCTGTTCAAAAACATTAAAAATTAAAATAAACAAATAAGAGAATGTTTAGAACAATTCATATAAGAGTCTACATTAAGCAGTAGTTCCAGACACCAGATTAAGAATAAAATATAGCCATGTAATTAAACTGTATGCCAAATATAGATTTCAAAAAATTAAAATAAAGACGTACGACATTGCAACAAAAACAAGAGTTCTAGATAGAAAATGGATAAGACCTAAAAAAAAATTGATACACAAGCTACAACATGTTTCACCTGGTATGCAGGCTCAGACTGTAACATACACATAATTGTGATGTTCAAATAAAATTTCAACGACAAAACCTCTATAAAATACTGAAGTTTTAACTATGCTATCACAATTGGTTGAATACTTTTTTCAAATCAGAACAATTTTATGAGGAAATACAGCATTGTAAATATTGAACAAACTGTACATGCTATAGTTAACAATTACAGATAGACCAAGCCCTTAAGTCATTGAACATCAACATTAAAGATACTGTACTAGAAATTACATTCTTTAATTTTTAAAAAAAGATTTATTAACCAATTGGCTCAGTTTCTCTGTAAAGCCATTCTAGAGCTTCCAGATGGCCCATCTTTTTGAGCAGAGGTCCCACTAATTCGCGTACTTTCATGTGATAATTGTTTAGGTATGATATCTGCAAAAACATACAAAATTAGCCACAACATGGACAAGTACCAGAGAAAGACTTCAATCCCCCAAAAATTTGCCTTCAAAAGACTTACTTCTTTTTCAGTCAAAAGTCCGGGAACCAACATTTTAGTCTGAATGGGAACCATAGTCACGGTTTCAAAAGTCAAAAACTTGCGGATAGGAAGGTTATACTTGGTCTCAACAGGAACAACTCGTTCAATATTTTCTAGTCGGATCCCAAACTTTCCATCTTCATAATACCCTGGCTCTGAAATTACAATAGAAGGGACATTTTACAGGATGTCATAAATGTAGGCTTATTTTTCTTCAATAAATATTCAGGGAATACAAAATGAAATATCTCACCATTTGAAAGAAACATTCCCTCACTCAGGCCTGGATCATCTGGGTAAGTCCTCCAAGATACTCCCATGGGACCCTCATGGACATTAAGATATGAGCCAATGCCATGTCCAGTGCCATGAAGGTAGTCAAGGCCTACATCCCACAAATATTTTCTAGCTAGTGTGTCTAAATAATGTCCCTGTAATAAAAATCAAATAAAATCAGAGAATAACGTAAAAATAACCAAGTACAGTTAGGATGACAAAATAGATAATTAAATAATTACATGTTTAGATATCAATTAAAATTTTGTGAAAATTTGTTTAATATACCCCTACCTTTATTTTTTGAGGAAATACAGCAGAGGAAAGACTTGCTTGTCCCTTGAACACTCTGGTAAAGCACTCCTTTTCATATTCAGTTGGTGTGCCAAAATGAACAGTTCTTGTCACGTCAGTAGTACCATCCCTACATGCATAAATAGACACGACTTTTAAAAAATCATTCAGAGCCCTGCACTACTAAGAAAGGAAAAATGAAACAAAAGAAAACTATACCGAAACTGAGCTCCAGAATCACAAAGATACAGCTCATTAGCAGTGATAAGTCTATCATGATCTTCAGAGGGTGTGTAATGAATGATAGCGCCATTAGGACCTGCAGATGATATTGTAGTGAAGCTCAATCCAACAAATTCATCCATTTGTCTGAGATAACAAAGAAATGTGTTACGAAAAATCGATTGGAACAGGAACAGGATATATAGATAAGGGGTGCAATTAGATAGGAAATGAAAAGCAATGCAAATAATACACGTACTTCCTGAACTCTTCAAGCTTTGTAGCACCCGAAACTTCTGTCACAACACCTTTGGATACTTCCTTTTCTAGCCATGCTAAATAGCAACAAACTGCAGCCCCATCTCTAATGTGACAGTTGATTAATCCTTTACACAAGGAAAAAAAAGAAAATGAATTTAAAAACAAATCAAGAAATAGTAGATTTATCATTACAAGCAAAGGAAAGTTCTCACCATTGACCTCAGTTGGATTTTTCATGGCTTTCATGACAGCAATCGGAGATATATCCGTGAGGCGTTTCCTCTCAGGTATCAAAGCCATTAACCCGTATGATGATAAATAGGACAACCAGACCTTACCTTCATGAAGAACAATCTAAAAAAGGCAAAAAGAAAGTAACATGTTCAGAAAATACGAGATTACAAAGTTAATCAAAATTGGGTTGCAGACAAGTTTCAAAACTGGATAACAAACCTCTTCTGTTAGGAAAGAATAGACTTTTTCGTAAGGATGGAAAGTAACAGGAAGACCTTCCTGATTAAAATGATCGTGGACAGCACTAGTCAGTTTTGACTTATCCGCAAATAAGTGCACATCATTAGGTGTTACAATCACGTATGAAAAAAATACTGGATTGTAATCTATGTCTGAACCTCTCAAATTGAGCAGCCCTGGTACAATGATAACAACGTGAGATACAGTTGCAAGTTTTTCTTTGATGGCTGGCATTAAATGTTGTCAAAAAAATGAGACACAAGCATAGGCAAAAACTTACATGCTATTTCATCAAGTGCTGTTACTACAAGCAAGCTTGCTCCTTTTTCTGACATGTCTAAACGAACTTCTTGCACTTTTTGACTGCATGCTTTGCCTAAAGGGAAGAAAACAAACACAAAAAAAAGACAAATCGTTGTAAAAATGGTTGTAAAGATGAAATTACAGATCAAAAAGATTGTACATCAATGTTTACCTGAATATTTAAGTGGGTGCGGTTGAACAATATTGCATGGAGGAGCAGGTCTGTCCTCCCAGATCACATCTATAAGATTAACTTGTATAGGTACTAACAGCATTCCTGACGCTTCAAGTTGTGTTTGCATAGGATGCCAGCTATCGTATGACATGAGTTGAGGATCAACACCAACACGAGAACCAATGGGCAGAACCTTGCTCAGCCAAACACTTTCTGTTGGTGTTCCAGGGTCATCTAAAATAAAAACAGAAATTCTGAACTCATGATAATCCTTGAAAAAAGGGCATTTTCACAAGGATGAACCCAAATAAATAATCAAGTACAAGAAACTTAAAAACTTCTTGAATCACTAACTCAGCTTCATTAAGGTCCAATTTTTATCCATTTCTTGTGTGGCCTGAAGGTAATAACGACCATCTGTCCATAAACAGGCATCCTTTTCTGTCACAACAGCTGTTCCACTAGACCCAGTGAAACCAGTGATGAAAGCTCTTCTCCGATCACACTCTGCGATGTATTCACTCTGAAAACAACATTAGTATTTGAAACTGTTGAACAAACAATGCATCATTACTCTGTGAAAATTGTTTACTTACCTGATGCCGGTCTTCAGAGGGCACAATGTAAGCATGAATAGGTTCCTGTACATACTTCGTATTTTTCATCAAGGCTCTTAGCTTCTCTAGAAGTTGGGAAGTTGACTTTAAATTAACCATCTTGGTAGGTGATTTGCCTTCTTAACTGCAGGAAGAGGAAAAAATAAAATAAATGAGGGCAGATATAAACCTTGTTAAAAGACAAGAAAGAAGTTTAGCATATGGCACAAGACACAAGACATTCATACTAAACCAAAAGAATTTTCCTTTTGCCCAAGAAACTTGCATGGTCCTTTCTATCTTATCTTATCTCACCGAAGGATGGTTCAAAAATCAATGCTGGTATTACATGGATTAAGATATCATAGATATGGCCAGAAAGAAATCTGTTGGTAACACAGACCAAAAACCAAGGACTTCCATGAATTTCAAATGTGCAACAAAGAGGCATAGCAAAAAAAAAATGTTGAGAAGCAATCCATCGATATACTAAAAAATGGCAATACCCAGGAAAAACCTAAGTGCAAGGATCACGAATTGGCAAACTCAGTAAAGAGCATAGGGAGCATAGCCCAGACACGCTCCTTTCAACTGATGTAAATTATCACAGCTCTTTCAAACCTTAAGTCGTTAGAGTGACGACGATAGCGATATAAACATTAGAGACTTTTAAGGTTAGTTGCCAAAGATGACCAGAGCTTAGCATGTTCAAACTGAAAGAATAGCCGTATAGAAAAATAAGCTTTAATACGAACTGGATTATGGGTGTATCATCAATCTCGGTTCACTTGACAACTTTAACATCAAGTTTACCAAAACTCTGTAGCGGCTGATCGCTGACGGTGGTTGACGGGCAAACTGGCCGCGAAGCGAATGAATGATGGATGAATGTTTTCATTCTTTTCTTCTTCTTTTCATTGTTTGCTGTGTTAACCAGCCGGCCGGTCCGGTATTTGCGGGAAGCATGAAATTTGTTGTGACGAATTCTCAAAATATTGTGTTTCTCAGTGATAAAGTAATATTGAACGGTTTGATTGCAAATTTTGTTTGAATATTCCAAAGCTAAACTTACAATGAAACCTAAATTTTCCAGTACAGCAAATGAAAATGTGAAAGAAGGCTGAAGGCTAGTGCAAAATGTGTTGTGTTGTCTATCTAGACGGCGAATTAAAGATGCTTTTGTGAATAAATTATTGCATAATTGATCTTTTATTTTTCACCATATCTATATGTGTACATGTAATTATTTATTTAATATATTATGAAATATCACAAAATTCCATTATTTCTATTTCATAGTAAGAAAGTATTAGCTGGTTGTGATTTCACGCATTTGGCGCACTGCAGCGACAAGCTTTGGCTGACAACCAGAGCTTTGGGCTTGATAGTCATCGGCAGGAATGCGTAAGAGAGTGGATAGTTGAGACAGCTGATCTGATATGCAGAGACCCAAGTCCTCTAAGACATTGCCAAGGTAATCTGTGAAACAGTGGAGAAATTAATTTTTTACCATTCTTTGTTATAAGTAATCACATAGAAGTTGAAAATATTTACCAATGTCAGTTGCAAGTTGTTTGCAAGCACTCGCACTGAGCTGAGAGATGCCCAAAATACGATCACAATACGTTAAACAAGTTGTACGTGCAACGCCAGCTAGCAGTAAGTCTGCACTTCCTCCAACTATATCAGACACAGCCACACTTAGCGCTAAGGTGAGGGCTGGGTTGTCTCTCAAGAGGAAAGGCTCAAGGTGTTGGGGCAAAGTCATGAGGTATTGACCAACCTATTCAAGGAAGAAAACAAGCATGTCCAAATTGATTAAAGTTGATTAAAGCAATGGGTTTAGACTCATCAAAAACCACATGAGAGCAAGTCAAAGTCAACTGACCTGGGTGATATATTCTTGAGGTGCAAAGCTGTAGTCTGGTAAATCTAGAGTTAGGGCTGGAGATTTACTAACAGATGCACACCAAGCTGGTGCACTTTGGACTAGATTTAACTGCACTATTATAGGAGCAAGAATCACAGCAAATGTTGTGCGATGCACATCTCCACATAATTTTTCAATAGCAGATAATATTGATTTTAGAACAATATCTTCCCCGCCTGTTGAAAGTTTTAGGTATTACACATTTTAAAAATGCAGGTGGAACAGATATGTATAGCTATATCAGACACAAGCTCAAAAGGAAAAGAGGACATACCATCTTGAAATGATTTGCACAGGAGATCAAATTCTTTTTGACCAACTTCATCCAGAAGCAAGAATTTAAAATTTGAGAAGGAACTATATTTACCGTTTGGTGATACTTTAGAAATATTTAAAATACTTTGCAGGAGTTCTTTATCAAGATGGCGGATTTCACTCAATAGCTGGCCTACATTCAATGAATGAAAAAAAATTACAAGATAGTGAAAACAGAAATGTGAAGAAGCGTAACACATTTGTTGAAGTTCAACTCACCCACGCTCTGAAGAAGAGTGAGACACATTTGAAACATATTCCAGTCCTCAGCATTCCCTTTCTGCTTGTCTAGCCTCTTAAGGGCAGTTTGGAATTGATCCAGGTATGTGGTGAAGTAAGACTAAATTTTTTAAAAAATGCTCATAATTATACACAAACATGATGTTTGAGACAGAGCTGTAATTTAACACATTTGGATGTCTTTATTTTTTTTATTTCACAACATTCATACCTTTATTGCTTTGAGAAGACCAATGTATGCACACCCATGGCTCAACCTGAGACAGCGCTTTTGTGCATCTATCACAAATCCAACAGCACTTGTGACTGATAATCCTATAGCTTGCACAGTCTCTGCAAGATCTTCTTGAGTTGTGAGGTTTGGAGATATTTGCTTCTTAAGATTCTCAGACTCAAGTTTTGAATACTGTTTGATATATGGAATCCAAGGACGGTACACAGATTGTGCAAGAGCGAGTAATTTATCATCAGACACAGTACATTTCCCTGAAATTATAAAGGTTCTAAATTAAAAGTGTCAATGAATGGCAAAACTCTCTGTTACACGGTAATTTTGCAATTGTTTTCACCTTGGCATGATGCTTCAATGGCGGCTTGAAGATTGGAGAGGAAGTGCTGAGTACATTGACTTTGTTCCAATAGTAAAGACAAAGGGTCTGTTTCTTCCTTCATTGCAGAATCAAAATATGTATTTAGACTGGGTTCTAATGAAGAAAGTGTATCCGCAAACAATTCAACTAATATTACAGCAGGTGAAACAGTTGTAAAAACTTGGCTACACCACTTGACCTAAACCAAATAAGAGGGTTAAAAAAACTAATGAACATTCAGTTAAACAACTCACACTTTTGATCAGAATCTGATAAAGCTTCCCTACCTGATCATTCCAAGCAGTGATGAACATTTCATAGCATGACTTCAGGAGATGAATAGCTCCTTCATCTTGTTCGACTTCAATAAGTCCTCGCCATTGCTGAAGAAGAATGCCTTTCTGACATTTATGGTAATATTTAAGCAACTGAGACAATCGATCCATGTCTACAAAAATACGAACATGTAGCCTGGATTGCTCTGGAAGGAATATGTAAGTTTTGTTTTAGATAGTTAGATAAAATTATATGAAAAGTTTACACAGCAAAATAGCATCATCATCATTACTAGTACCTATGGACCCAGAAGTAAATGCTTGAACTAGTCGGGGGCTTGCAATAGCTTCTAGTCGGTTCTTTAATCCTTCCAGCTGTAATCGACGCTCTTCGTAGTCAGGAACACTAGTCAAAGCTCCCAGTGATTGTTGCATTTTAGTCAACCTTGATGACATGTTTTCAATATCCCCTGATTCAAATACCTGAAAAGGAAAAGACTCATTTTAAAATATACGGGAAAAAATAATAATCAATATATATTTCTACTCACCTCTTCTAGGTCAGCAGCCAGCAAAGACCAATTGTCAGCCTCATGCAAAGCTTGCTTGGCTTTTTGAAGTCTCATTTTCAGCTGATCAATGTGCTCCAAAGTTGCTAGTGACTCTCCAGTGTCACTTTGCACCTTGGACATCTCTTCTCTGACAGTTTTCATTTTTTCGCGCAGCAACAAGGTCTCTTGCTGAAGAACATCTGTGTCTCGCATGACTCTTGGTAAGCTTTGTAAGACCTGTCAAACAAACTAAAGGTTCAAAAAATTTGCCATGCAGGTTATGTAAAAGAATATGACGTTCTGGTGATGTTAATGTGACTCCCAGTGGTGACCATTGTTTCCCGTTTCCCAAACTAAAATAATTATACCTGTTGACTTGTTTCCTCGAGAGCACTGTTGACTTGTTGAACATAGAGTTGTAACTTCATGACCAACGATGATACAAATGCCTGGAAAATGTCATGTTAAAAGAATAGAGTTTAATGCCCACCATTTCTTGAAAATGCTCTGGCCTTCGGTCATAGGTACATACATCTCTGTTGTCTTTCACTTCTGGTGTGCGAAATGTTGCATTTATCCAGTCTTTGGCATCAAAATTGTCATCAGAAAATGCTGACATATCCTGCAAGTGTGTTGGAAAAACAATAATTATGTGGAAAAGGCACTGTTTTTCAAGGTCAACCATTAATCTAACTATGATAAGGTGGTTGGTTGAAACTTTATTGCAGGTCTCTGGCAAGGTTCAACCAGGTTTTACATTACAAATTAACCTAACTATAACTCATGATAAAAGATCCTTACCATTATGAGAGTTTTAAAACTAAAACACAATGAGACAGGAACAGAGATTAAACGAAGAGAAATGAAAACAGCCAAAATAATGCAATATCAAAATAAATTTTGACAAGCAAATTAAAGATTAGTGGGACCTGTCACTTGCTGAAGCCACGACCACAACAACAAACAAAACTGGTATATAGATTTCTCATTCCTGATGAAACTTCCATATGCGAAATTTATGGGTCTATCCAGTCGTCCTAAGAATACGGGTGTTCGGTATACCGCTCTGCCGTTAGTGCGAATAGTCATATTCTCCCGGTGTGAATAAAGCACAACAACAAGCAGAACTTTGTTTTGTGGAAAGTTTCCAAATACAAGGTTTCAGAAATCATAATCCATTTTATTTTCTTGCATTGTACAAGAGAGGTCATTGCATTACATAAGATCACAGAAAAAACAATATAAACAATGTGTTAGATGCACAGATTAATACCTTTAAGTACAATTCTAAAATTTAAGAAAATATCTTTTTGATTAAGGAGGCGAAAACATTTGTAGAATTTACACATTGAGACCGTTATAAAAATATGTGTCAGGTAATTCACATAAGACATAAGATAGACTGGTCTAAATATGATAAAATGTCATAACTCATATCTTGAATGAAGCTTTCAGCTTCGTAGTCCCAGTATAGTATAAATGAGAGGTAGAAGTTCAGAGTTCATGGCCAAGAATGCATGCAAAGCATATGCGTACAGAGATGTAACAGTTAAAATACTATTTAACTTCAAAGGAAGGCGTTCAATGAAACTTTTCGTTATCTTTTATCCTAACAAGCCATTCTCAGCGCGTTTTTCTGCTTCCTAACTAGTTTAGAGATTTTTAAATCCTGGCTAAGGATAACACGTAGAACTAAAGTTCTGTAGTTCTAAGTAAGAACAAATAAGGTATAATCTCATAGAGAACTGGGCACATGAGAACCTGCATGAAAAGATAGAGCGAAGTGCAAAATAACTTTACTTTGTACGTCAGCTGCTGTGACAGTGTACCTAAACTACATTTTCAAGTGTTGCACAAAGAAGTGAAGCCAAGCCCACATTTTCTTTTGCCCAGTTCAAAGCAAAATAAATATGATCGTCATAAAATTGTACCTCATTTGCTCTTAGTGCTATCCTGCTTTCTGCTTGTTGTTGTGCTTATTCAGCTTATTCACACCAATAGAATACGATTATTCACACTACCAACGGCATATCGGTATACCGCACACCCCGTATTCTTGGCGACTGGATATCCCCCATGTCTACTTGTGGGAAAATAAAGGTAAAGGATTTAAAAAAATCATGTCCCGGCATGGAAATTTTTCTCACAATGTTCCTAGCAAGCTTGTTTCAAGTTTATTTGCACAGAAAGGGTCAGGGAGGTATTGTGATATGACTCTAAAATTTGGAGACGTCGAGAGAAAAGCTCATGCTTGTGTTGTTGCATCGTTTAGCCCCTTTGTTGACAAATGGATGTCATCAGGTGAGGTTATAGCACCCATATCTGTGCCTCTGGACTTGGAGAGATTTTCCTGTCTCGACTGTGCCTCAAAAGTGATTGACTTTATGTATATCGGAAAAATTCAAATCGACAATCAGCATCTGGAACATATTCAAACTGCAAGTGAGGCTTTGCAGGTGTCAGAGCTTATTAAAATTTGTAGGAAACACACTGATAAGAATTGCTCCCGTAAGAAGGCTGAGGTGGACAAATCTGTTCCCCTTCAGCTCTTGTCAACTTTAAAAAGTGATAAAACAGAAGAGAAGAATTGCAAGTCATCAAGTAGTCAAGAAATATCATCTCTAGCTTGTCAGGACTCTGCAAGAGAGTCAGTCAGTTCTAATGCTTCCGTCAATGGGAGAACAAGTGCCAATGATGACGATATTGATGAAAACGAGTGGAGTGGAGTTAAATGCCCCAAGTGCAACTTAATATTCATGAACCTTGCCAAATATCAACAGCACTGTAGCACACATCTGGGGAAGACTCTGACAACTTGTTATGTGTGTAATTATGCCAGCATTAGAGTGTCAGATGTTATCAAACACTTACAGGAAGAGGATCATGGCGAAAAAGTATGTTCTATCTGTCTGCTTGAAATGAGCTCTTGTCAGACTTTGAAGGAACACTTGCAAGTTCATGATCAGACTCAGCCGTTCTTCTGTCTGACATGCAATACTCGATTCCAAACCAGAACTGCTCTTCACTCCCATATAGTCAGGCATACAAGTGAAACACCATTTGTGTGCAAAGAATGTGGAAGAGGATTTAAATGGAAACATGGTCTTCAAAACCATATGGTAACACATTCCAAACTGAAAACATTTTTGTGTGATGAATGTGGTTACAGTACAGCTCATTTAAGGTCTTTCATTGATCATAAAACCATTCATTCTGGGGAAAAGTTCAAGTGCCCCAAACCAGATTGCCAATTTATTTCTGTGAGAAAGGAAAGCCTTAAGCATCATTTAATGACACACACTAAAGAAAAACCGTATCAGTGTGAAGTATGTGGGCAAGCATTTTCACAAGCCAAAAATCTTCGTCGGCATGCTGCTTCCCACGACCCCATGACTGATCCTGAGAAGTGCCCTCTCTGCCCTTATCAAACGTTTCGCAGTGACAAATTTAAAGTTCATTTTAGGCAGTATCACAAAGATGAAGAAACCATTAGCACTAAACGAAAACAGAAGAGAAAATCCTGTAGCAATGGTAGCAAAAATACTAAAGAAATTTATTCCTCAAGTAATCTTGTTGATCCAACAGCTCAAGGTGCTGGAGAGACTTCTTGTAGAATAAGTTCTTGTGATGAAAGCAATGATCATGCTGTAGTTAATTATAAAAAAACACCCAAAAGTACAAAATGCCAAAAATCTAGTCAAAGCACATTAGGTGTAATTCACTCTAAACTGAAAACAAGATTCCAACCAATTAATAATATGGAAAAACCGTCCTCATCTGGAGGAGAAAGTGAAGTTTTACCTGAACACCTTAGTGTTTCTGTTGCTAGTACGCCATTTTCAAACAGTAGTGATCAAAATCTACTGAAACTTAACAGTATTTCTTCCTCCGGTGCTGAGACAATATCAGAAAAAAACACAATTTTACTTCAAACAATTGGTTTTAAATCTCCATCAGTAATAGACTCTAGTGATACTTTAATATTTATGTTGAACGGACAGACAATTAAAGATAATATACAGAGTAATCCTGAACCGACAGTAGCTGAAGAAGAAATTATGATCTTCGAAGCTGAAGAAGTTCCATCTTCTTCTGGTGAACTTAATATGCTTCATAATGGACCGTTTATGGTAATGGATACGGATTGTTTGGAATCACAAACTTTATCTAGACGAAGTGACACTACTTTGATTGGTACTCATCATTATGCAGACGAAAACCCTCCACAATTCTCAAATGTTATTATACTAGATCAATCAGGCATGGAGTCTCTGAATTTAAATGTGTATTCTGATGGAAACAAAAAATAAAATTTCTGATCTATTTTCATGCCTTTTTCATTATATAGTTCAACAGTTTTTAAACATAACTGGGTAATTTCAGATGAAAATACCGCAGTTATTTCGGGTATTAATTACTCCACGAAAACAAATGTCAAACTAGATTTGTCTTGAGAAAGGATTTAAGGATTTAGTCGATTTAGTGGAGTTTTGATGCGCCCAATTTTGAACTGACGTAGGAAGTGGAAAACAGGTGTGAGAGCACCAAAGTACAAAATTTTAGTTAAATACAAGCTTTGCAACCGTCAAAAATATTCAACGCGAGCGATAAAACCTCACAATTTTGTTTAATTTCGTGCAAATCACATGACTTGCACTGTTATTCTCACTCTTTTCTAGAAAAAAGTACTAAATTTGTTTTAGTATGGTTGGTAATTGTAAAGATGTGCTCTTCGCACTCACACAAGGCCGTGTTGTTTCGAAAGCAACAACGAACAGACAGTTTCTTATTTGTCACGAAGTTTTATATACCCTAACTACGTCTATTCACTTTATTTGTTTTTGTGAGAGTTGAATTCCTGGTGAGGAAGCAGTCAAAATCCGTGCATTTCAGTAAAATGTCGAAAAGAAAAATTGCTTTAGATTCTGATTCGAATGAGAGTGATAGCAGCGACTCCGATGTTGATAGAGTGAGTATCGACCACATTACCTGCACTAGCTTAACTTTCTGTGATTCTGTGAACTAAGACGTAATAGTTTTCTTCCTCTTCGTTTTGAAAAGTTGGTCGATTTCGTTGATTTCTCTGCTACAATTGTTTGATCTTATAGTGTACTTTCAGTGTAAGTTAAATTCTTTGTTGTGTCAAATCCCAACCGCTTGTGTTGTAGTTCCCTATTATTATCAAATTGTACCTTTTTATTGGGATTTTTAATAGCTAGGTGTTTTTATTTTAATTCAAAACAAGTCGTGCTGAAGTCCTTTTCCATATGAGTATTTTATCTTGGTAAATTAAATGATTATTTTGAGGTTAGGTTTTCTGTGTGAATAATTATCTAAATTTGGACCAACCTTGACCATTTACTGATACAGAAGTGTATTCCTCCCAGTTTGGCTACTTAGTAACCTTTTAAACACCTCTTTGCAGGAACTTTTGACTAGCTTGAAGAAGAAAGTGAAGAGCGATGATTCCCCCAATGAAAGTTCAGCACCCAAAAAAGGCAAAGTATTTACCGATTCTGACACATCATCTGGTTCGGACGGAGAGTGGGATGCGAAAGGAACAAGTAAAAAAAAGAAAGCTAAACCAGCAAAAAGGACAGGAAAACGTACCATGACAAGATCATCATCATCATCCTCATCTGATTCTGAAAGTGAAGATGATCGAAATACAAAAAGTAAAACATCCGAACCTGAAGAAGGTTTGTTGAGACAAGAATTCAAGATTTTCTCTTTTATTCAATTGAAATAATATTTTCTTGTTTGCTTGCTATGTTTTTCTATATTTGCTTTTGCTCTTTAATCTGTGAAAACTGTCCTCTGCAGGAGAAGTCTCTGACAGTGGATCAGACTCAGATGATTCTGTCTCCAGTCAAGAGGAATTCAATGATGGGTATGATGAGAATTTAATGGGTGATGAAGAAGATCAAGCCAGACTGGCTCAAATGACTGAAAAAGAGAGGGAGCAGGAAATTTATAAACGTATTGAACAGCGTGAAGTCATGAAAACTAGGTATGGTATTTCTCTATTAAATAGATGATTTTCTTGGTTTTGTAATTGTATTGTTAAGTTTTGTTGTGTTTATTTTATTATCAAATTTAGATTTGAGATTGAAAAAAAGTTGAGACTGGCAAGAAAACAGGAAATGAAAAAGAAAAAAGATCATGACAAGAAAAAGGAGCTGAAAATGGATCCTAAAGAAAGGAGCAAAGAGAGAAAGAAAACTGTTGAAGAAAATCGTGGACGGACAGAAAACAAAAAAGCTGCAGCCATGGACATGTTGAAAAAACGCCGTGAAGAGAAATTGAAAAGAGGTGAAAATTCTAGTTGGTCACCTTGTTTTTAAGTTGTTGTGACATGTAAGTAAGCTCTGAATTATTATTTGCATCTGTTCATTTTCAGAGGAGAGTGAGCGGCAAAAAAGAGTTGATGATGAAAAGAAGAAAGAGGAAGAAAAAGGGAGAGGTAGTGATGATGACAGGGAAGATAGAGATGGTGATGATTCTGATGGTAAATCTGCTGGTGGAGGTAGTTCTCGCACCAAGTTAAAGGCATCTGATATATACAGTGATGACAGTGGATCTGAAAGTGATAAGAGTGATAAGGGAAGCAGAAGGGGAAGACGGTCAAGTAGTAGTGGCAGTAGCAGTAGTGGCTCAGGTTCTGATTCAGACAAAAGGTGAATTTGAAAATTATCCATTTGTCAGTGATTATTACAAGGTGTAAACCCACCATTTCTTTTTGTCTAATTTTTAATCTGTGCACCTTAGGTCGGTCTCAAGCTCTAAATCCAAAACAAAGAAAGTACAGTTTATAACAAAGAAAGAAGATATAACCAAAATTAGGCTCTCTCGGCACAAAATGGAAAGGTACTTTGAGGCACTATGCTATCCATATATCCTTAAATCTCAGAATTTTACACAATCTTGCTTAATCTGACGTATTTTTCTTTCCAGATTTGTTCACTTGCCCTTCTTCAATCGAGTTGTAGAAGGATGTTTCGTGAGAATAGGTATAGGAAATCACAATAACATGCCAGTTTATAGAGTAAGTACTTTTGAGCTAGGAAACCATTTTGTACACTGTTGTGTCTTTTATCTTTAAATTCTATTTTATAGCTTTTATTAACACATTTCTGCAATGTAGGTGGCTGAAATTAGTGGTGTTTGTGAAACTGGAAAAATTTATCAACTAGGTACAACTCGTACTAATAAAGGACTCAAACTCAGGTACACTTTCACCTCGCTACTAATCATATATTCTTGATAATCGTCAATCGGCCACTTAATCAAATATTTTGTTTCAGACATGGAGCTCAAGAAAGAGTGTTTAGGCTTGAATTTGTTTCTAATCAAGACTTTACTGACAGTGAATTTAGCAAGTGGAAAGAAACTTGTGCGTTACAAGCGATTTCTTTGCCAACAATGGATGACATTGAAAAGAAACTGAAAGATATTCGGGAGGCCATGATATATGAGTTCAAAGAAGAAGATATTGAGAAAGTGAGAATTAACATGATCAGTAGATCATCTGCAAACCATCAAGAATTGCAACTAATGTCTTTCTCTTTTGATCCTTTCAACAGATTGTGCAGGAGAAAAGCAGGTTTCAGAACAATACTTATAATTACGCCATGAAGAAAACTCAGCTAATGAAGGAAAGGGATATAGCACAAGCTAGGTTATTAACATAGATTTAGTCCTTGAACCTAAATGGAAATTGTTTTGCATTGAATTCTCTTTAAACATGGCATTTATTTTTCAGGGGAGATGAAGAGGAGGCTGCCACTATTGCTCAGAAACTTCTGGAGCTGGAAGAAAGGGCTAATGAACTTGATAAATTGCGGACATCTACTATTTCAAGTATATCTTACATCAATGACCGTAACCGCAAGAAAAATGTTGAAGAAGCCGAAAAGGCTATTTTGGTAAGCTAAAATCTTAGATCAAGAAATTTATCAAAATTGTTGAGTGTTTGGAAGAGATTTTAATACAGTTTTTCACTATTTGTGCTTAGGCTGAACTTAAAGCTACTAAAGGAATGAAAGTCATGGATCCCTTCACAAGGCGGCATACGAAACCTCGCATGACATTCAAGGCCAAAGATGAACCAGATGTCATAGAACCACAGCTAGCTGACATTCCTGTAGGTGTTCGTAACCTAGGTTGTCTGATTTCTTTTGATTATCATAACATGTGCCTGATGTCTTATATTATTTGGATAGGCTATCAAGGAAAAGTTGTCTGATGAGAATGACAAGGAGAAGGACAAAGATAAAAATTCTAAAGGAAAGACTGCTGCTCTTATGTCGAAGACTGAGGATCTATTTTTAGCTCATGATTTTGATATTCGAATAGACTTAGATATGCCTATTACTAGTAAGTGAACCCAACTACATATTATTTTTAATGAGATGGTTGACCTTTACCTAATTGTCTTGTTTCTTTTTCCTTTAGCCAATCCAGTAAGTGTTACACCCAAACCTGTGAGTACTGTCAAAGATACAGGGCCAAGAAGATCATTGAATTTGGAAGACTATAAGAAGAAGAGAGGTCTTATTTAATGGAATATATTCCTGCTTGTTGACAGAAGTTGGCTTTCAGTCCTGTAACTATTTGCCATAATCCTTAATTTGACTGTGTAAGACTCCTTCTTTGCTATCTTCTTTTTTCCAACAAGGAGTGTGCTTTCTTTTTATACCTTAAAAGAAGTGAAGGAGGAGCACTGACTACCAGCAGAATTG